GGGCCCTGCCCGGCCCCCCATCCCCACTCGCCCGGCCCCTTTCCGGCACCCGCACTCCCTCCTCATCCCGCCCCCCCGTCCCCCTCGTCCCTTCTCACCCGCCACCCCCCCCAGCACTGCCCCCTCCCCCGGCCCTCCTCAGCCGGCACCCCCGGGCCCTGCCTGTCCCCGCGTCAGTGCCAGCCGCAGGGCAGAGGGCCGGGCCCCGGCACCAGCCCCACATTGGCTGTGAGTTCTGTGTTCGATTTCACCAACCAGTTACCAGGTGTGAGCTCCTCAGGCCCTACCACAGCCTCTCCGGGGAGTCACAGACAGGCCCCGTGGGCCCCCCACCTGTCCTGCCACCTGGGAGATAGCTGGGCCCTTCCCCCAAGGATACAGCAATAGTCAGGTTACTCCCTGTCCCAAAGGACCCGTCCTCACCCCAGGGCCCGGCGCTTTAGCTCTCACACCGAAGCCCACGCTTGTAGCCAGCCCTAGAACAAGCTGTCGAAAGCTTTATTACCTGGGACAGGAAACAGGAGAGTTCTTGATGAGGTGAAGCCGGGAACCACAGAGACACACCGGAGTTACAGTCACAATTTCCAAAGGGACTAGACGCGTCTATCACATGCAAGCTCCATACGTCCTGTAGGGCTGACCCGGGCTGAGCACTGGGGATCTCTTGCTTCTGCCTAGAAACCTGCCCCTCCAGAGCCCAAGCAGAGTATAATCATTTCCCTCTGCCTGGGGGTTTTATCCCCCTCCCCCCATGTGCTCTGAGCTGGGAACTCAGCTGATGGGAGGAAACCACTTGCACGACTCAGCTTCGTGGGGGGCACAGCAGGTGTCGATGGTCCTTTCCTGTGGGGCAGGACGTGACACCTCCCGCTGGAGCCAGCACTTCACACTGGTTAATGTCTCTCTCCTGCCTGGTGAGTTACACGCTCACAGAAGCTCCCAATTCAACCGCTCAGATGTTCCCTTGCACTAGGGCAGGGGTAGGCAACCTATGGCACGCATGCCAAAGGCGGCACACGAGTTGATTTTCAGTGGCACTCACACTGCCCGGGTCCTGGCCACCGCTCCGGGGGGCTCTGCATTTTAATTTAATTTTAAATGAAGCTTCTTAAACATTTTAAAAACCTTATTTACTTTATATACAACAATAGTTTAGTTATATATTATAGACTTATAGAAAGAGATCTTCTAAAAACGTTAACATGTATGACTGGCACACGAAACCTTAAATTAGAGTGAATAAATGAAGACTCGGCACACCACTTCTGAAAGGTTGCCAACCCCTGCACTAGGGGATACAGACGTGATACGTGAGATTGATGCTGGTGGCAGCTCACCACCATTCCATACAGTCTAAACACGACCCACATGCGTAGCATCCTGACCCCCGTCTGAGCCATACTAACACTCGGGGGGCCAGGCCGGTTCCAGTGACATATTTGTTGGGGTTCCCTTGAGACAAGGGGACCTTGGCTTGAGCTGGGGCCTGGTCTGCCAGCCTCACAAGAAGTACAGAGAAAGGCAACATGATGATGAGGGGGATGGAACAGCTGCCATTTGAGGAAAAATTAAAAGGACTTGGACTGTTCAACTTAGAAAAGAGATGACTAAGGGGGGATATGACAGAGGTCTAGGAGATCACGGCTGGTGTGAAGAAAGCAAATAGGGAAATGTTATTTATCCCTTCTCATAACACAAGAACTAGGGGTCACCCAATGAAATGAACAGGCAGCAGGTTTAAA